GGGCCCTGTGAAACCAGAGTGAAAATTCAGGATGTGGTGGATTTGGTAGGAGCAGAGAATCTTTGATTCTGTGAGCAGGTGTTTTGACAGTATGACTAGTAAGAATCATAGAATCCCAGAATGGTTTGTGTTAGAAGGACCTTAAAGACCATCAGGGATGCTCAGCCTTGTTCCCTCTGCACTGAGCCCCACCTCTGCCTCCCAGGGCTGGGAAAGGGCTGGGAAGGGCATTTCTTCTCCTCAGAGGCAGTTAATCCTTGACCTGTGTATTACTGGCCCAAGACTGTGGGGGCTCCAGGCCACCTGGCCCCACCCCTTAAGCATGTTGCTCTGAGCCTTCTCCATCTCGTTCCAACCCCCTGCCATGGGCATGGATGCTCAGCCTGTCCTGATTCCCTCTGTAGTGGCTGAGACACACCTCTGCCTTCTGGGGCTGGGAAAGGGCTAGGAAGGACATTTCTTCTCCACATGGGCTACCCCATCGCTCACCTCGCTCCAGTATCTCTCAGCTTTTCTGCCAAGGTAGCACCCAAGCAAAACCCCAAGGAGCACCAGGCACAGGGCTAAGTTGCTCCAAAAAGCCACCTCTGAGTTGATGATATCCATCCAGTTGATGATACCCCAGTGGACAATGTCCTTTGGCTGCAGCTTCAGGGGAGGCACATCCCACACCAGTGTGGCCCAGGCGGGAGGGCAGGGAGAGTTGCTGGTTCTGGGGAAGAGACAGGTCAGGCTGAGGGCCAAGATCAAGAAGGCTGAGATGAGCATCACGCTCAGACGCTTGCTCAGACTGTCTCTCTCATCTCTCTCATCTCAAGCTGAGTGTGCAGTGTCTGAGCTCTGGGAGGGTGTTGGAATCAGTTGTCACCCACTGATGTCACCAGACATGCTGTGATGCCACAATGCCTTTGCCTTGGCCCCTGATAGGAATAGAAGGTCAACCCAAATCTAGGCTGTGAGGGTTATGACATCAGCTGTCACCCACCACTCTGTCACAAAGAGCCCTGAGTGCTCTGCCTGGCATGGGAGTTGGGGAAGGTCAAGGCAAGGACACCGCCAAAATCGTTGTCATGGAATCATAGAACCATGGAATGGTTTGGGTTGGAAGGACATTAAAGATCATGTAGTTCCACTCCCTGCCATGGGCAGGGACACCTCCCACTCCATCCAGCCTGGCCTGGAACACTCCCAGGGATGGAGCAGCCACAGCTGTTCTGGGCAACCTGTGCCAGTGCCTCAGCACCCTCACAGAGAAGAATTTCTTCCATATATCCAACCTAATTTTCCCCTCTTTCCGTTTGAACCCATTAGTCCTTGTCCTGTACCTTCAGGCCCTTGTCCCAAGTCCTTCTCCAGCTCTCTTGGAGCCCCTTTAGGCACTCTCCAGAGCCTTCTCTTCTCCAGGGTGAACACCCCCAGCACTCCCAGCCTGGCTCCAGCCCTTGGAGCATCACTGTGGCCTCCTCTGAACTCATTCTAGCAGATCCCTGTTCTCCTTATGTTGGTGGTTGCAGAGAAGGGGGTTGGAACTGGATGGCCTTTATAGGTCCTTTCCAACCCAAACCATACCAGGATTCTATGATCTGTCTGGGAAGCACCCAGGAGGGGTGGTGAGTGTGAGTGGGAGCATGGAAGATACCTGATCTAGTGAGGAGGTGTCCCTGCCCATGGCAGGGAGGGATGGGACTAGATGATCTGTAAGGTCCATTCCAACCCTTAAATTCCATGATTCTATGATCTGGTCCAACCTCCCCACTCAAGCAGGGCCCATCCTGCAGGACCAGAAAGCTGTGGCTAGTCAGGGGCTGAAACTCTAACAGACTTCACTTTCCCTCCCCAACAGGCACCAAAACTAGCCCCTCCCTGCCAAGGAGAGCCTACAACCCCACTGCAAACAGGATCAAACCACAATCAGGATGAAAACCCACCTCCCCAGAGGCTGACAGGCACAGAGCACCATCTCCAAAGGCTTGAAACAAATCCAAAAGTTTATTTCCAACGAGTACACAGACCATGTGGGATGGGGATACACCATGATGCTGACCTCCCGCGCTGGCTTTAGCTTCCAACCACCCCCTCCCCACAAACCTGCCCGTGGCAGCTTGGGATGGACTTGTTCCCACCTTGACAGAGATAAAAAAGTCCTTTTCCAGTTCTCCAGATAGTTTTTCTTTAAAAGCCTGGGGGTTGGATGTCATTTGATACCAGGCTGAAAGTCCAGCATCAGGCTGGGGGGATGGCTGGTATTGCAGTTATGAGAGGGGAAATGATCTTGGCAGGCTAACAAAGGCATATCTGTGTATAAATACTGGGGTGAAATACCTGGCAGCACACCAATGTCAACATCACTACCAACAGAAAAGAAAGCCCAGCAATGAAAAACACCTTCAATGAGGAGTTTGGGTTAATTCAAAGTTCCCCCTCCCTCTCCCCGAGATTCTTCATGCAGGTTTAATTCATTGGGTTAGTTATTAAGAATTCCAGTTGTAAAATATGCAAATCCTTGAAAAAGTCTTACAAACCACTTTAGGACAGGGTTTGAGAGGGGCTGGGGAGGGAGCTCTGGGTCAGACCAGCTGCACTTCACTCTCTGTGACAGGAAATCAGTGTTAAAAACCAAGGACAAACCCAGGGTGGGGTATTTGTGTGTCTGCTTGGTAACACCAGGAGTGAAACCAGCTGCAGAGCAAACTTCATCCATCCTTCATCCTAAAGCTATGTGAGCTGGAGTAAAAAGATCAAGATTAGGGGGTTAGAGCAGGCTGAAAACCATCACAGGAGGGCTGGGACCAGCTAGGCTACTCATGGCATATAAACATTCCCAGATGCCAAAAGTCTTGAGTCCAGTGTAAGAACAATTGGTCTTCTCCATTAGAAGACTAGAAAAAGAGTATGAAAAGGTAGAAAAACCAAAAAGCACTTGTTAAGGGCTAGAAAGGGTCACCAAAAGGTACCTAAAGACTATTGCCCTCTGCAATCCACAGGGATGTT